CACAACTGCACAGAGAAAGCATCGTCATTCAAATTATCGTCCCCAATACAATGCGTCACAGAGGTATATATTCCCGAAATATGGCCAAAAGGTTCACAAGTACAGCGATTTAGTTTTCCCAGGCGTGTGACGGGAATTGATCTCTCGTTAGTACACTTAAATGTACAATCTCTTAGTAATAAAATAAATATAATTGACGTGCTCATGCAAGAACACGATCCAACTTTCCTATGTTTCACGGATTATTGGTTGACGAGAGCAGATGTTGGTGTATCATTACACCGCTGTAGAGCATGTTCAGTATTCAGGCGCGTAACACAGATACACGGAGGTAGTATAATATTTAATAGAAATGATATGATGGGTGATTGCTCGGGTATAGCAGCAATCAAACGGCTGTCGGTGGAACAGTTGTTTGAATGTTGCGCAATTAGTTATAAAGACAAAATATGTATTATCTACATATATAGACCACCCTTGGGCGACTACGACCTAATTTTTGACAAACTTGAGGAAGTATTGCAGTACTCTTCCGCAAAGTTCGAAGTGACACTGCTCTGCGGAGATTTTAATAATAACAGCGATAAAAAAGATAATAAAACAAAGAGATTGACCCATTTGGCTTGAGTTCTCTTGTGAATTCACCCACGAGGATACAAACTATATTGTTACAAACATCCAAAACTCCGTCTTTAGTCAGCTTAATTTAGGAATATCAGACCATTTAGCCCAGGCAATAACTTTTAAACACTACTCACAAAATATAAATTTCAATGATCGGTTGCAAACAAAGAGTTGTTACAGACAACAGCATTGCTGAATTCCGTAGCTATTTCGTGAAGGAAACCATACCTCTTTTGGAATACACAAACATTGACAACCTTTTCAACATATTCTGGGATCATGTACTATGGTGCTTTGAGGTATCACATCCTAAAAGAACAATTCAGCAAAAAAACACAAAACTTAAAAGATATATACCATTTTCCGAAAAACTCAAAAACCAAATGATTGAATTAAAAGAGTTAAACCGGAGACGCGAAACCACTAATAATGAAGCTGTGGAAAAAAACTACAGAATTATGAAAAACCTAGTCTTTCTAACAACAAAAGTAAAAAAATGTGGGAACTTGTCAACGAGAAGCTGGGTAAGGAAAAAACTCAACGCCGTATACGAATAAATGTTAATAATGTCAATGTAATTAATGATAACATAATAGCAAATGAATTCGGACAATTTTTTGCCACTCACGTGCAGTCGAAGACCGATACTATGTTCACTAAAGATGAAGCTGGTACTCTTCCAACCACCAAGGCAAAGAGTATGTTTTTCATGCCACACACCGACAGAGAGGTACTAACTTTTATTCAATCACTCAAAAACAAGCGATTTGTTGAAACCGATGAAATACCTATACAACTCATAAAAACCTGTGGAGATGTTTTAGCTTCATATTTAACTAGTATTATCGATACGTCCGTTCTCTGCGGGCAGTTCCCTGCGGCATTGAAAAAATCAAAAATGGTCCCTGTATTCAAAAAGGGAGACTCTGAGCTAATAGAGAATTATAGGCCTATAACAATCGCAGGTTGGTTCTCTAAAGTACTCGAAAAGGCCATGTACGACAGAATGACACATTTTTTTGGAGCAAGAAAACATTATATCGAATGTGCAACATGGTTTCCGTGTTGGTTACTCAACGGAAACGGGGATTAATGACCTTGTCCGGTATATCTACGACAAACTCGACATGGGTGAGACAGTTGTGGGAGTGTTTTTTGATCTATCGCGCGCCTTCGATTCCTTAGATCTGAATATCATGGCAAAAAAACTAGAATGCCTGGGGTTTCGGGGTAATATCAATAGTTGGATAATATCATATATGAAACACAGGGAAATAAGGGTCAAAGTGAATGGAATCTACTCGGAACCGTTCAACGTCAACTTAGGCACGCCCCAGGGAGGAATCTTAGGTCCACTACTTTTTCTTCTGTATGTGAATGACCTTCCTGAGTTCCTCAATAACAACTGCCGCGTTTTTATGTACGCGGATGACACATCCATCTTCGTCTCCGGAAGGGAAGTTCAGGAGCTGATCAATAGGTTTTCTTGTGTTGTGGCACAGTTTGTTGATTTTTGCAAACAGAACCATTTGATCATAAATTTGGAAAAAACAGTTGACGAATTCACTGGTCAGTATGACTAACCTAGCGTTCAGCTTTGAGGGTTCACGCGTGGAATTAAACCACACAAGTTTCTCGGATCTTACATCGATGCCTTCCTAAAGTGGGACTACGACATAATAACTGAACAAAACGTTTTTCGCAATGTTAACAATCAGAGATTCTTTCTTTGAAAGATAATTGTTGACTTTCTATTACGCCTCAGCTAGCGAGGGACTAGCGAGTGATGCGGAGAGGGTGTTCATTCAGCAAAAAGTGATACTTAGGTTAATTTTCAGACTGCCCTTGAGGCTATCCTGCAAAGATATAGTTATAAGGTATAAAATACTAACAGTGTCTTGCATATATTTATTTAAATTATTCATCATCGTTCATAAAAATAAAGGCTCTCACAAGAAACACACGGATGTCCACGGTTATAACACCCGAAACAGAGAACACCTTGTAAAGCCAAGACTGAACCACATGTTCTACAAAAAGTCGCTAAATTACGCAGGACCTTATTACTATAATTTGCTTCCTACAAGCATAAAAGCATTATCTACAAGACAATTTAAAAAGTGCATCAGAAAGCTTCTGTCAAACATATATTACAGGAGTGCCCTGATGAGTTTAGTGATGTTTTCTCTACATTTTGTCAATATGTTTGTACTGTTTGTATATCCGTTTGTAACTATTCTATACTGTACTGTTAAATGTGTGTTATCGTATTGTTTATATACATAATTCCATGTATCTTTATACTACTCTATAATGTACTCGTTTCCTGACGAAACATCCACTGTATACATTCTGGGCTTTGTGAATAAAACTATCTATCTATCTATCTATCTATCTAATGTGCGGCGGTAAGAAAAAGTATTTTTTTATTGATCAAAATTAATGTTGTCCGCTTCAAAGTGACCCCTCTACCCCCTGATATTGTGCCAAAGTTTTTTTCTGGTAAGCACTTTCTGGTATAGCCTTGAGTCCTTTTATTAAGCTTGCCATATGCCCCATTTTTAATACTTTGCGATTAATTTTAACTATTCCAACATGACGTCATCCCAATGTGTCAAGTAAATGTGAAACTGAACAATGGAGAAAAAATAAAAGTTGAAACAAAAATAATCAGAAACAATTGTTGTTATGGCGATAAATTCGAACAATTCGACTTGAAATTGTGTGAAATTAAAAATTCTTCCATATGTAGCAGTGGCGTGCATTACATATAGGCGAAAAAGCATTGCCTACCTTTTTGTTTATTCAAGAAAAACATAAATTGAAAATTTATTTATCTAACAACGCTCATTCATTACGTAAGACATACCTATTTTTTATGTTCGTTATGGGAAAACATAATTAGGGCGTGGCACGCCCCTGATATGTAGAGAGCATCAAAATGAAATTAAACCGTTGAAACTTCAAGAATAGATGTGGATGTAATCATTGGATTGTTGTAAATTGGAAAACATCTCCCGAGCATAAAATTAAACCCAAACCAGTTCGAAAAAATTTTAGGTAGGTTTAGGTAGTTTAAAATAAAAGTGATATCTTTAAAAAATATTTTAATACAGGTAAGAATAATTCATGAACCTAGCTTGTAACATATCTTTCTGTACCAATGGCGACCTTGTAAGACGTACCGTTGTCGAGATCTGGGCTTTTTTCGATTTAAGTGAGATTTTTGAAAAAAAAAAACTATAGACTTAATGAGATTTTGGAAAATATTCTTTCTTGTCATCTCGTCGTTATCTTTTGGATAAATTATTTGATACCGAGAGGGTTTTTTTTTATAAAATTTCAATTTTATCAATTATAATTTTTAAGCAATTGAGATTGCTGATTTTGGAATTTCACATTGAAATATTTAACATGATAATGAGAAAAGAACAAAAAAACTTTAAAATACAATACATATGCTACCTATAGTAACGATAATATTAGTAATTGGTAATCAAAGAAAACACAATTCACTTATGGAAAAAAAGTTATTAGAAAAAAAAACAAGCAATAATAGAGCGGCTGATATAAAAAATTCACCCATTTGCAGAGCGCCTTATAATGAAGTTGAACCATTAAATTTTTGAGAATCGGCATCGGTGGATATACGAGGCGTGTTCAAAAAGTAACGCGACTTTTAAATTTTATCAAAAAGTATTTATTTATCCATCAAAATTAATATTGTCCGCTTCACAGTAATAGCCTCTACACTTGTAACAACATTCTTTCCAATCTTCGAATCACTTTCTGGTATAGGCTTGAGTTCTTCCAATGGTTTTTGCTTTATCTCCGTTCCAATCGTTCCAAACCTCTTTCCTTTCATGTTTTGGGTTTCTTGAGGTTTGGGAGCAGGAAAAAGTCACACGGGGTCATATCCAGTGAATACGGTGGCTGAAGCAACGATGAGTGAGCAGGTGCATTATAGTGATGTAACTGTATTCAATTTTTTACACTAAATTTTGTGTGAATTTTTTGTTCCACACAAAACACGAATAACGCTTCTGTTTCACAAAACTGTGAACATATATTAGGAACATGACCAATTACAAAATTCACCTTACTTTTTGAACACACGACGTGTTTACTGGATATTTGTAAATGGGAAAAACATCTCTTGAAAATTTTTCGACCAAAACATTAAATCCAAACTAACCGAGTTAAGATTTGTGCCATTTTTGAAACAACAAAATTAGGGCAGCAATAGATCGATATGCCTAATGACCAGTTTTATTTTGAGCAATGACCGTTAACATAACAGACGAATGTTTCATGTAGTAGATAATAAAAGTGATATTTAGTGCGACATGAATGTGTGAAATGAATCATTTTTCCAGATATATTGCCATACCGTTGCGAAGATGTGCCGGCAGCTAGGGAGTTCCTTCACAAAGTTGTCAATGGTTTGCCGTCTTTTTTTAAAGAGAAAATGCCTACCAGTAATATACCTACTTTCACTTTCCTAGTTGTAGTCTGTGTTCACTGACGTTCGAGTATCGAATTAAGATTTGTTCCTCAATACATCGCCGCATCGAGAGTCAGTGAATGGACAATACTTTATTGTTGAAAATAGCGGCATACCACTCAAAACGGCGGACTAACTACCTTTTCATGAATGAATGAGTTGCTTTTGTTGTTGAAAAGGATTAGTCACAATACTAATAACTTCTTGAGGTTCGTCTTTCCACCTGAACGGGTCTTAAAATGGAATATTCTGTAGTTACTGCGCCTTTTCAACAATAAGGGGGTGTCATAGTAGTAATAGAACCTAGATTAGTCTTTAGAGTCTATAGATGTTTGTTTGCTATAAAGTGGGACGTTTTTGTTCGAGGTTTGTTGAAGGTAAGTCGGAAATTTAAACAGATCGAGAAATAAAAAAGAAAAGCAAAACAAAACAAAAAAACACTATAGACTATAGACTCACTCAATGAGTTTCTGGAAAATATTCTTTCTTTTCATCTCGTCGTTATCTTTTGGATAAAGTATTTGATACTGAGAGGGTTTTTTATTATAAAAATTAAATTTTATCAATTACCATTTTTAAACAATTGAGATTGGTGATTTTGGAATTGGTCGAATTAAAAAAAATTAAAATGTTTAATAAGATAAAGAGAAAAGAACAAAAAATACAATACGTATACTACCTATAGTAACGACAATATTAATAATTGGTAAAATGAAACAGTAAAACATCGAATTAAAGAAAACACAATTCAAAGAAAAAAATAGGATTGCATTAATCAAAAATAATTTTTATCTTAATTGACTTTTCAAAATTTAAAACATGGATGGAAAAAAAGTTATTCCGAAAAAAAAAAACAAGCAATATTAATAAGCGACTGAAACAAAAAATTCACCCATTTGCAGAGAGCCTTATAATAAAGTTGAACCATTAAATCTTTGAGAATAATTTTTTCAATACATATAGCTGTTTTTTTTTTGCTAGAAATATGTGTGCTTTTATATGGGGTTAGCTTGAAGATTAAACAAGAGTTCGAGAAATAAAAGAAAAAGTACAAAACTGATGCTATTTCGACAGTTCATATTAATTGCAAATCAAAAATACAATTTTATCTCTCGATGAATATTGTTTGCAATAAATTGGTGTATTGTTTATGCAGAGTCATCTCTAATATTAAAAAAGAGTTCGAGAAATAAAAGAAAAAATGCAAAACTTGTGCTATTTTGAAAGTCCACATTAATTGCAAACTAAAAATACAATTTAATATTTCGATACATATAGATGTAAGTCTCTATCGGCTAAATTGGTGAGCTTTTTTTACGGGGTTTGTTGAAAATAGTTAGAATATTAAATAATAATAAATAAATATAATATTATAAATATTAAGTAAAAATTCGGGAACTAAAAGGAAAATTGCAAAAACAAAATACAATTTAATTTTCCGAACAATATTGAATTTAATATTCAATATTGAATATTAAACAGGAGTTTGAGAAATAAAAGAAAAAATGCAAAAATGATGGTATTTTGATAAGTCCAAGTAAATGGCAAATCAAATATACAATTTAATTTTTCTATACATGTGGAAGTAGGTTTGTTCGCTATAAATTGATGTGCTTTTTATACGGGGCGATTTTTAATATTAAAAGAGTTCCAGAAATAGGAGAAAAAATGCAAAACTGATGATATTAGATTTTTCGATTCAAATAGTTGCAGGTTCGTTTGCTATGCTGCACCTCATTTATAAAGTTAATGAACTAGATTTGATGCTCCGTTATTTCATTTTCCAAATGCGAAATAGATAACAGACACGGTGTGACTAAAAAGTATAGAAGTGGCTTTTATATCTTGGAACCTTCGGTGAAAAATTGTCGAACAAAAGTTTTGCGCGTTTGTGTTCAAAATCGATTCAACTAAACTTAACTCTTAAAAAATGTCTCACTGTGGGCGTATTTCCAGACATCCTGCCCTACAAATTGGAGAACGAGAGTCAGACGCGAGAGTTCCTGCAAAAGGTGGTCGAAGTGCTATTGGATTTCATCAGATCGACCAACGATCGGAATGAGAAGATTCTCGATTTTCACCACCCGGAAGAGATGCAGAAACTGCTGGACTTGAGGGTTCCGGATCAGGGAGTCAACCTTCAGCAGCTGATACACGACTGCGCCGTAACTTTGAAGTATCAAGTAAAAACGGGTAAGCTGTTAAAGCTTTTTATTCGCCCGGTTTGGGGCCAATAAAAAGGACGCCCACTAAGATAAGAAAAAAGTTTTTTGTTTGATTTTTTTTTATTTGACATATAAAAAAATAAATTTAAATATCTATTTATAATACAATAATATATGATATTGAAAATATTGACGATAAGGTAACCTTCTTCAATGATAATATTCACATGTTAATGGATCTGCACGCACCTTTAAAAACCGTTATTTTTCATAAACCATATAAACCGTGGATAACAGACAACATTAAACTACTTATAAAAACCCGAAATAAAAAAGCTAAAATCAAATATAAAAGAACTGAAAATGTCGTTGATTTTGAACAATGCAAGTGTCAGAAATTTTACAAGTATGACAATTAAAAAGGAAAAAAAGGTGTATATCTTAATATTATTAGCACAACGGAAAAATAAAATATTCCACCTCAACTGCGTAACATCAATAAAATCAATAAGTACGTATCTAGTACGGATATCATATCGGACTATTATCATAACCCAATTGTCTGTGTCCAAATTTTTATGCAACATTAAGTCCAGAGCAGTCGCACCAGATGGTTTACATGTGAACTTTCTAATCTTTTCTTGTCCATTTATTCTTAAATATATCTGCCACATCGTTAAGTTTTGCATCAATAATTCCGTTTTTTCTTCCGCGGGCAAGATTGCAAATATTCTAAAACTAAAAGTCCTACAAGTTATAGTGAATTACGCCCTATTAGAATTTTGTCTGTAGTTTCCAAAATTCTGGAAAATGTAATTAAAACGCAAGTGATTGATCATATGGAGAAAAATACTATTCTTCCTGAAACTCATTCTGGCTTCAGGAAGGGGCACAGTTGTGCAACTGCTCTCCTAAATGTCACTGATAATTTATTTCGCACAATTGGCGAAGCTAAGTGTACCATCTTGGTCATATTGGCGTTTGATACCTCGAATCACCATATTTTGCTAACTATTCCAAAATATATAGGGCTTGATGAGGGTGCTGTCGAGTTTATGGGGAACTAATTACAAGGTCGTACACAAAAAGTGGTTCTAAATGGACAACAATCAGACTGCCGTGCTATAATATCTCGGGTGCCTCATGGCTCCATTCTGGGGCCAATTTTATACTGTATATATACGTCCGCGTTTTCTAGTTTTACACAGCATTGCAAAACCCAAATGTATGGAAATGGTACACAAGTTTATTACTCATTTCCGGGGAATAAAATTTTGAAAAGCTATCAAATCATAAATAATGATTTAGAAATAATTAACAGGGTGTCCCTAGAACATTCACTCCATCTATATCCAGAAAAATCTATCAACTATCAACTAGTTGAAATAAAAATATCGAATATTTGGGCTTATGCTCGACAGTGAGCTAAGATTTAATGGTCACATTACACAACGTATTAAAAAATCCATTGCTCACTTAAAATGCTTATATGGTTCTAAAAATATTTTAAATCAATCATTAAAAAAGGTCCTGTGTGATTCGATAGTTTTATTTTCTTTTAACCAATGTGTATTTTTTGAAGTATTTTAATAAAACAAATAGACAATTACTTAAGTAAGAGATAATAACGATAACAATTCTCTGCGTGCAGCCATATTAACGATATTGTTTTGACCAGACAGAAAAGGGGTTTTTATTTTTTTTAAAGCGGAAACCGTACATCGGATTGAAATAAATCAAGAAATTAAATTTCTTTAGAAATAATTGGTGATAGTGGGAATGATTTTTATTTTAAGAGAAATCTGTGACGTACCATCCAAAATAAACAGGTGAAATTTCGTACGCCCGCCACTGGTGTGTTTAAAAAAAAATTAATTACTTGATAAAAATCCATTTAACAAAATAAATAAGAACTAAAAGTTCAGATTTTCACGAAATTATATATTTTTACATGACAATTGTTTCGACAACACCGCGTCTTTGTCAAATGTAATATTTACAAACTACCTGCTACTATATATACCGAAAAATGACAATACAACCTTAATTAATGTTGTTGTGAGAATTTAAGTTCTATAACGGAGACGTATTTAAATATAACTGATCGTTAAGCAATACATTTGAATGTCTCATGTTGTTAATCTCCATGGCTTCCAATAAATTTAATTTTCTACTTTTTGTGGCTGTGTGTAATATATCAAAATTGTCGTCAAAAATGTGTTTTCCTGTGTTTAAGTGTGTAGCATAATTAGAATCTAGACTATTGTTTTTAAACGCTCTTATATGTTCGTTAATGCGTTTCTTGAAGCATCTAGTTGATTGTCCAATATAAATTTTAGAACATAATCCGCATTTCAACCTGCAGACACCTGATTTTTGGGATTTTGGACATTTCGATTTATTGTTTTTTAAATGTTTTCCTATTGTGTTGTTAGTTCTGAAAGATATTTTTAAACCACATTTTGACAAATGCTTTGAAACTTTTTCGCTAGGTTCTCCTATGTTTGTAATTGTTTTAAATTGTTCGTGTTCTGTATTTGGTTTCAGATAAATAGAGTTTACTGTTGTCTGTATTTGTTTCCTATTTATAATTTTATCTATAATGGATGGATTGTAGCCGTTGTTCAGTGCAATTTGTTTAATGATATTAAGTTCTTTGTTGTAATTTTCTGTTGAGAGTAGCGTATTAAGAAGTCTGTGTATAAAAGAATTAAATGCAGCCATTTTGTGTGTATAAGGGTGATTTGAGCTGTTATGTATGACTGTGTCCGTATGCGAAGGTTTATGATATATTGAAAAATCTAATTTGTTTTGCACTTTCGTAATAGTTAAGTTTAAAAAATTAATTAGAGTTATCATGTTCAATGTCGATGGTGAATTTTATACGATTATGTATTGAGTTAATGTAATTTAAAAAAGAATTCAATTGTCTGTCCGTTCCAACAAAGCAAGCAAAGACATCGTCCACATATCTATACCACCATAAAAAACTTTTACTTAAAGGATGTTCTAGTATGATATTTTCCAAATTATCCATAAAAATCTCGGCTAACAAAGGACTAAGTGGGTTTCCCATAATCAAACCTTCTTTAGAGATATAAATCTGTCCATTAAATTCAAAATAATTTTGGTCTAAAGATACTATTAAGCAATCTAATAAATCTTGTTTCACCAATGGGTAAACCTGTTTCCGAGTTTGGGTGAAATGTACTAAATCTATCACATCCATAGGGGGAATACTGGCAAATAAGTTTTGCACATCAAAAAACAATAGTGTTGCGTTAGAAGGGATTTTGATATCTTTAATTTTGTTGATTAATTCAAAAGAATTATTTATTGCAAATTTTGGTTTAAAATCTGTGTGGAACTTTAAAATATTTACTAATTTTGTAGAGAGTTTAACTGCTGGAGCTGTTACATAAGACACCACTGGTCTAATGGTCATATCTTGTTTATGTAATTTAACTAAGGAATGTAATTTAGGCGGTTGTGGATTCATAATTGTTAAAAAATATTTGTCTTTGTCACTAAATAGTGTGGAGTTAGTAATTACATCCTTGACTTGCCTTTGATATAACTCGGTAGAATTGTGTTTGATACAAAGGAAAAGTTCTGGTTTAAGAAAATTGTTGGTTTTTGAAATATATTCTGGGAGATCGATAGCTATGACTGACATTACATTTGATAAAGACACGGTGTTGTCGAAACAATTGTCATGTCAAAATATATAATTTCGTGAAAATCTGAACTTTTAGTTCTTATTTATTTTGATAAATGGATTTTCATCAAGCAAAAGTCACCTCAGTTCAACTATTATAATAATTATCCATGTAAATATGGTACCAAATATTTTCATATTTATCTACAAAATTTTTTACGAGATTGTTCAACTTTTGTCCACTTCCGTTGTAGAATTTAAAGTTCGTTATGTATGCACTTTGCGATTCGTATAACATTCTAACAAGCATACACTACTTGCCTGGGTTGTAGACTCGGAAACTTAAACGGCCTCTGTGGGGTTTCATTGCCTCATCCAATGAAAGATTTTGTTCGGGTTTATAAACTGTGCCAAATTTATTTAAAACATTTTCTGTTATTGGTTCAATTTTGAAGAGCCGATCTGCGTTTCATCATTATTACAAAAATGTAATGATTGTAATATTTGCCAAAAATTGGTGTTTCAATATCAGATCAGTAGACCAATAATCGTTTATACTACTTTTTCTTACCCGTCCCATTAAAATATTCAAACCAAGAAACTTCTTCGTTTCGGCTATTGTTGTACGTTGTTTAATATTTTTCACGGATTTATATTTGGGAATATTTTGCATATGACACCTGTTTGATTCTTTTACCAATAATTTAAAAAAGTCGTGACCAAGTCCACTGTATCTTGTGTATTTTCAGGATTTTTTGGAAACACTTTAACACCATTATTTCCCAAAAATGCATTTATTTTTATATCACTATCATTTTCGGATCAGTGTGTAGTTGTATTGTCGTTTTCAAACTCTGTACCATCGGAATCGCAGCTCTCAGAATCACTTACAATAGGTAAAACCTTTCTTTTACAATGTCTGAATCATCGCTCTCATCTGTGTCATTTTCATTCCCAAATAATATATCAGCATAAAAGTCACTAGTCTCATTGCAAATATTATTCCATTCAAAATCGTTTTCTTCCATTAAAAACAGGTTAAATAATAAATTATTCTATATTTATTTAAAAACTGATAAAAAAAGACTTAAAATAAATCAACTTTTTGATGGCACAAAGTTAATCTGTCAAAAAAATGAGGTATTATTATGTCAGCCGCTAAAAGATTTCAAACAAAAAATGACGTATTACTACGTCAGCGGCCAGTAGTGAGTTAATATCTTGCCAAGACAAATAGTACCATTTTCAAAAATCCATGTCTCATGAGTACAGACAAAAAAAAGCTGCCTTTTCTTGCTCAATCAATCAATCGATATGGCATGCATAAACCAAACTTAATGCATGTGCAATCAAGGACAAATAGAAGATCA